AAACAAAACTTACATTTTCGTATAATGTCAAAAAAGATGCTAATTTAAAAATTCCTGGAAGCCGTATTTATTGAAATTAAGGAATGAAACTTATTTTAAATTAAAGCTCAAAGCTTTCTCTTTAAAATGATGTATAATAATTGTTGGGTTGGATTGGAAAAAAATAGAGAAAAAAAATTTTGAAATAAAACTTACATTTTCGTTAACCTAAGAGTGTCAAAAAAATTAAATTGAAAACGATACTTTTAATCTAATTTTCTTTGTACTTAATCGAATCGACTCTTTATGGTATAATAACCATATAAAAATGACCGTAATCTTTATTTTTATTATTATACTCTAAATTTAGTATAAAAGGTTTTAAAAAATGAGTTTAATTTAAAAATTAATACCAGCAGAAAGAATAAAAAAATGTGGTAGTGATGAAGAAAGAGAGGATATGAGATGTGGTGGGAAGGTTTTCGAATGCCCCCCCGAAACCGGACGATATATCGTTTTCGGACGTCCCGGACGGAATATTTGAGTTATTTATGGGCTATTTATACAAAAGTGTTACAATTAACAAATGGGGCCCTAATATCCCCGGGTCTCCGAGGAGCGCGCTTATTATTCAATTTCGAAGGAGGAAAATTGTTTCTTGGAGATCTTGATGTTGACAAATTGGGTGTTTCGTAATTTTCCGGTTCACACATTATCCTTTTTATTAATTTTTTTTTTAAGGTAAGCTCAAATGACCATCGACGAATCCGAATTTAACACGGACACATTCCAACGAAGATTCTTGAGCAAATTAAATTAAAAAGCAAAAATTTTATTCGAACACCTGCGAGGCAATTTTCTAGGTGTTGAAAAAGAGCAAAAATGATTGAAGGGGTTCAGTTTCTATTCTAATTCGATTTTTTTTCGAGTGGGAAGAACGATATGGGAAAGTTAAAGAAAGAAACGAAGAAGAAGAAAAGGAGAAGTTGAGTTGGAGAGAATAGGAATCGTTAAAACTGGTCCTGATGGTTTCGTTTTGTTGAACGATCCGTTTTCGGAACTCGGACGTGATGCTGGACTCTTCACGCTAATCCTTTCAGACCCTTTTACGAAGGCCGACAGATCAAAATATTAATCGGCCGAAGAGAAGGATTGTGTATCTTTCATTTTGCAGAAATATTTACTACCCCATTAAAAGAAAAACCTCATATTAGATATTGACGCATCTGAGAGCAAAAATGCAAGAGAGCAATATTGTTAAGAATAAAATTTGCTACAACTTTTGCTCCAAAAGTTTTTTTGTAATATGCTTCGATTCCCGAATGTTACCATTAGCTAATAGTAAAACAAGAAAATGTAGTAAATTTTCATATTTTCGTATTTTTCTCGATATTGACGCATCTGAGAGCAAAAATGCAAGAGAGCAATATTGTTAAGAATAAAATTTGCTACAACTTTTGCTCCAAAAGTTTTTTTGTAATATGCTTCGATTCCCGAATGTTACCATTAGCTAATAGTAAAACAAGGAAATTTAGTAAATTTTCATATTTTTGTATTTTTCTCGATATTGACGCATCTGAGAGCAAAAATGCAAGAGAGCAATATTGTTAAGAATAAAATTTGCTACAACTTTTGCTCCAAAAGTTTTTTTGTAATATGCTTCGATTCCCGAATGTTACCATTAGCTAATAGTAAAACAAGGAAATTTAGTAAATTTTCATATTTTTGTATTTTTCTCGATATTGACGCATCTGAGAGCAAAAATGCAAGAGAGCAATATTGTTAAGAATAAAATTTGCTACAACTTTTGCTCCAAAAGTTTTTTTGTAATATGCTTCGATTCCCGAATGTTACCATTAGCTAATAGTAAAACAAGGAAATTTAGTAAATTTTCATATTTTTGTATTTTTCTCGATATTGACGCATCTGAGAGCAAAAATGCAAGAGAGCAATATTGTTAAGAATAAAATTTGCTACAACTTTTGCTCCAAAAGTTTTTTTGTAATATGCTTCGATTCCCGAATGTTACCATTAGCTAATAGTAAAACAAGGAAATTTAGTAAATTTTCATATTTTTGTATTTTTCTCGATATTGACGCATCTGAGAGCAAAAATGCAAGAGAGCAATATTGTTAAGAATAAAATTTGCTACAACTTTTGCTCCAAAAGTTTTTTTGTAATATGCTTCGATTCCCGAATGTTACCATTAGCTAATAGTAAAACAAGGAAATTTAGTAAATTTTCATATTTTTGTATTTTTCTCGATATTGACGCATCTGAGAGCAAAAATGCAAGAGAGCAATATTGTTAAGAATAAAATTTGCAACAACTTTTGCTCCAAAAGTTTTTTTGTAATATGCTTCGATTCCCGAATGTTACCATTAGCTAATAGTAAAACAAGAAAATGTAGTAAATTTTCATATTTTCGTATTTTTCTCGCTATTGACGCATTTAAGAGCAAAAATTAAAGAGACCAATTTTTGCTCTTAAATATACAAAAATATGAAAATTACCAATCCCTTTCCTTATAACATAACGCTTATGACTATGACTAAAACAAAAACAGTTTGCATGAACCCACCTTTATCCGAGAACGAGGCTTTGGGTTTAATCGGTTGACGAATAAAAACGTACAGATCGATACCGGGATTACGGATAAAGTTTTGCGCTGAAACGACAACGCAATGGGAGGGTAATTTAGATCGGTTTGAAACCCGCGGGGGGCGAAAAACACTCGGCAACATGCGATATTGCACTTTTCCAAGAAACTTTGGGTTAATAAAAATTTACTTTATTTGTTTCCCCACACAATAAGATTAATAAAATTAAGACAACTCCCTCAAAAAACTTTTTTCGCCCCTTAATTAATTATAAACTGCTGTATCAAATTATCGTTTCTTTAAAAGTATCAAATTCCAAGACGGGAAGGAAATGTTAAATTTATTTTTAGTTGCGGCCCCGCGTTTCGTTTCGTCTTGTTACTATAATAATTAAAAAGTTGCCGCTTTGTATAAACTCCCGGTGAGGACGAGACGAATAACTTTAAAGTGGCGTTGCGGTAAAGTTAAACTAAAGCTTGACGGGGCTTAACACGATTTGAAAAGACGTTGAGATAAAATTTGAAAATTTTAATTGCGATTAAACCACTTAATAAGTATCAATTAATTCGATTTTCCTTGTTTTACTATTAGCTAATGGTAATATTCGGGAATCGAAGCATATTACAAAAAAACTTTTGGGGCGAAAGTTGTAGCAAATTTTATTCTTAACAATATTGGTCTCTTTCATTTTTGCTCTTAAATGCGTCAATAGCGAGAAAAATACGAAAATATGAAAATTTACTAAATTTCCTTCTTTTACTATTAGCTAATGGTAACATTCGGGAATCGGAGCATATTACAAAAAAACTTTTGGAGCAAAAGTTGTAGAAAATTTTATTCTTAACAATATTGCTCTCTTGCATTTTTGCTCTCAGATGCATCAATAGCGAGAAAAATACGAAAATATGAAAATTTACTACATTTTCTTGTTTTACTATTAGCTAATGGTAACATTCGGGAATCGAAGCATATTACAAAAAAACTTTTGGAGCAAAAGTTGTAGCAAATTTTATTCTTAACAATATTGCTCTCTTGCATTTTTGCTCTCAGATGCGTCAATATCGAGAAAAATACAAAAATATGAAAATTTACTACATTTTCCCACTTTGCATAAACTCCCGGTGAGGAGGAGACGAATAACTTTAAAGTGACGTTGCGGTAAAGTTAAACTAAAGCTTGACGGGGCTTAACACGATTTGAAAAGACGTTGAGATAAAATTTGAAAAAAATTTAAAAGCTTCCTATTAATCTAATTGCGATTAAACCACTTAATAAGTATCAATTAACAATTAATAACTCGAAACTCGATCAAATTTCAAGTGGTACAAATTGATTTGATTCATCAACTTTTGTTTTGTGTTAATGGACGATTTATCGAACTATTCCGAGTAAATCTAAAATTATCTAAGTCTCAGCAATTTTAACCGCGTATAATTAGAAAACTTCCCTTCGGGGTGTTTACAGTAAACGGATAAAGCAGGATTTACACGTAGAAAGTGTATGTGTAAACCAAAGAGCACTTTAGATTTAGTAAGACGAGAAATATTTAGATTTAAGCCTAAAATTTAGAAATAGAAATTGAGGTGTAAACGAATTCTGTAAATAAAACCTTGAATCCGAATAATTTAAGACTACCGCTTCGTTTTACAACAAGAATAAAAAAAATCTAAATAACTCACTTTATTGGAGAAGTTGTTGATGACCATTAAACTTTAAACACGTAAAATAAAAGGAGTCGTTGTTACCACACGATTTCTAACTTGATAATGTATTAAATTGGAAAATATAAAGTAATTTCGAAAGATTTTTAGATTATTAAACAATAGATAAAAGATAACGAAATAGATAAAGGTTAATTTGATTGACTAGACGTAAAAATTTTTGTGATATCAATTTTTTCAAATATTTTTGTTAAAAAATGAATTCGAACGTTGCTTTTGAAATGAACAAAGTGAAATATTGATTTCGGCCCCTTTCGGTGCGGTTGCAGCGAAATCCTCTCGTGCGTTAATAGAAAAAAGAGAAGCCGTTTTAAAGCTTTAGCAGTCGGTGCTGCCTCGGTAATTATTCAACTATGAAAAAGCACCAATTTAGATTTCAAACGGGCTCGTTGAAATGACCGTCCGCGATACGAAACTACGATTCAATTAACTGAAATCGCAAAGTCGCCGAAGAATATTAAATGTCAATTGGGAATTTTGTTTTTATCATAAACAAAATAAACGTATAGCTAATTTAAAAATTCCTGGAAGCCGTATTTATTGAAATTAAGGAATGATTAAAACTTACATTTTCGTATAACCTAAAAATATCAAAAAAGATGCTAATTTAAAAATTCCTGGAAGCCGTATTTATTGAAATTAAGGAATGAAACTTATTTTAAATTAAAGCTCAAAGCTTTCTCTTTAAAATGATGTATAATAACCTTGTTTATTGTTGGATGTACAACATTTGGAGGTAAACGATGGAATAAGTGATCCCATATTGCAACATCTAAAAGAAAGAAATAAATATTTGCGAAATTAAATTAATTTTATTTACGTTATTCGTGAGTTTTCTTGAAATTTCATTCCGATTCATGTATTTCATTTGAATGTTTTCGTTGTCGACCTCCAACATTAATTGTTCGATCTTCTCGCGTTCAAATTTCGATAAATTGGCGATATTTAAACCGTACAAGTAGTAATTAAAGTCCGCATCGACTTCTTTTAATGACTCAAAGACTGCGATTCCCAACGAAATTTGAAAGTATCCGATAATTTCGCCGATTTCGAATCGAAATGAATTACTCCGAATCATTTCAGCGATTATACAAAGATTTAAAATCGTCCATCCAGCTCCATATAAAAAATAAATTAAAGTTGACGTCGAAAAGTAATCGTTTAATTTTTCTTGGTAATAATAAATTATTCTCCGCGATTTCATCGCTTTCGTACGCCTCAAATTAATCTTTAATCCCTCATAAACCCCATCTAAAACTTGTTTACTCAAATAAACTTGAGTAACAATCATAAACCACCAAACACCAAAATACAAGTTCGTTAAAAATGTTAAAATCGTTCGTAAAATCCCATTTTTTAAAGAAAAAACACAACTCAACGAATTTATTGTGATAAAAATCGTTATTTTAAGCACAAATTTACGAAAATTTCCATAAATTTTAATTGAGGTCAAATAATTCCGTTTAATAATTCGGTTATAATCTTCAAAAACACGTTCTAACCACAAATTTAATTTGGTGCGCAACGAAAAGTTAATTAATATCTCAAAAATTAATAACCACCCTCCGAAAATTGATTGTATCCAATTCAAAAATTCCAACATATTCGTTTTTGGCTCATCCAACGTGGTTAAAACCACCAAAATAATAAAAATAATCAAAAAGATTAACGATAAAGTATTTAAAAGAATTGATGGTTTAATTAGAACCGTTTTGGTTTTGTGGTTACATTCGAAATTAGATAAACCAACGAGGAAACCCAACTTTAAAAGCGGTTTGTAAGCACAAAAAAGACAACCATCGGGGTGTTTCCACCCAAACATTATTTGAGTTAATGAATAAAAAGAATTGATTTTTCGTTGAATTTTTTATGAGTCTAAATGATTAATTTTGATACGTCCATAAAAAAGAAATTTACGTCATTGCCACGCTTACAATTTTATCAATACAAGGTTTTTCCTTCTTTTTCGGATCACATAATATTTACATTTCAGTAGGAGATAACGAGTTTCGAAGAAACTGGCGTAATCTTTTGAGTCAAGGTTGCGATCAAAAACCCTAAATGCTAATTTAAAAATTCCTGGAAGCCGTATTTATTGAAATTAAGGAATGAGACTTATTTTAAATTAAAGCTCAAAGCTTTCTCTTTAAAATGATGTATAATAATCGTTGGGTTGGTTAAGAAAAATATTGAGAAAAAAAATTTTGAAATAAAACGTACATTTTCGTATAACCTAAGAGTGTCAAAAAAGATGCTAATTTAAAAATTCCTGGAAGCCGTATTTATTGAAATTAAGGAATGAAACTTATTTTAAATTAAAGCTCAAAGCTTTCTCTTTAAAATGATGTATAATAATTGTTGGGTTGGATTGGAAAAATATTGAGAAAAAAAATGTTGAAACAAAACTTACATTTTCGTATAACCTAAAAGTGTCAAAAAAGATGCTAATTTAAAAATTCCTGGAAGCCGTATTTATTGAAATTAAGGAATGAAACTTATTTTAAATTAAAGCTCAAAGCTTTCTCTTTAAAATGATGTATAATAATTGTTGGGTTGGATTGGAAAAATATTGAGAAAAAAAATGTTGAAACAAAACTTACATTTTCGTATAACCTAAAAGTGTCAAAAAAGATGCTAATTTAAAAATTCCTGGAAGCCGTATTTATTGAAATTAAGGAATGAAACTTATTTTAAATTAAAGCTCAAAGCTTTCTCTTTAAAATGATGTATAATAATTGTTGGGTTGGATTGGAAAAATATTGAGAAAAAAAATGTTGAAACAAAACTTACATTTTCGTATAACCTAAAAGTGTCAAAAAAGATGCTAATTTAAAAATTCCTGGAAGCCGTATTTATTGAAATTAAGGAATGAAACTTATTTTAAATTAAAGCTCAAAGCTTTCTCTTTAAAATGATGTATAATAATTGTTGGGTTGGATTGGAAAAATATTGAGAAAAAAAATGTTGAAACAAAACTTACATTTTCGTATAACCTAAAAGTGTCAAAAAAGATGCTAATTTAAAAATTCCTGGAAGCCGTATTTATTGAAATTAAGGAATGAAACTTATTTTAAATTAAAGCTCAAAGCTTTCTCTTTAAAATGATGTATAATAATTGTTGGGTTGGATTGGAAAAATATTGAGAAAAAAAATGTTGAAATAAAACTTACATTTTCGTATAACCTAAAAGTGTCAAAAAAGATGCTAATTTAAAAATTCCTGGAAGCCGTATTTATTGAAATTAAAGAATGAAACTTGTTTTAAATCAAAGCTCAAAGCTTTCTCTTTAAAATGATGTATAATAATCGTTGGGTTGGATTGGAAAAATATTGAGAAAAAAAATGTTGAAATAAAACGTACATTTTCGTATAACCTAAGAGTGTCAAAAAAGATGCTAATTTAAAAATGTTATGTTAGGTTATGTTTATTCAAATCTAATTTATTTAAATAATAAATGTTGGATTAATGATTTCTCTTATTAAAATAAAAACTTGGTACAAAAAAAATGTGTGATCCTTACAAAAAAAGTTGAGACGTCGACAAAAAAAGAGAACTCTTTGCATTCCAAGGAGTTCATTTCGAGGAAGAAGACTCGTAGAGGAACAAAGGGGCCGCCGAAAAACCCGAGGCCCCACTCCTCTCTCATTCCTCTTCGTTGTATCCGGTCTGGTTTCGTTTCGTTTCTCCAATGACACTCGTCTTTGCAGAGCTTGCAGAGTTGCTGTGTTATAAAAGATAGACCCAGAGGACACATCTGTTATCAATTTATTATAAAACTCGCGTCCGTTCGGTTCGGGTATCGACAAAGTCTTTCTTTCATATCCCGATTTTGTTTTCTTAGGCATAATTCGAAATGAAGAATGCACGTTTTTTATTTACCGCCGTTTTATTAACTATTTTTATTAGCAATACTTTTGCACGTAAGTAAAACTTAATTTATTTTTAATTTTAATTCATTTCATTTCGTTGAAAGTAACTTGGGGTTATCTTTATTTAAGACCTTTGTACCAAAAATGTTTTTTTTTATCATCTTGTAATAATTATTATTAGAAGCGCTATAATTATTACGTAAAAAATCGTTTCTTTGTATCTTCGTTTAAATATAGACACAACTCTGATAACTAAATTTCTTTCCCTATCAACATAGAAATTGGAACTAGTTGTAATGATGGTGATACCAAAAAAGATGATGAAGGATGTAACGATTGCTTCTGTTCAAACGGACTTTGGGCTTGTACTTTAAAACTTTGCGGAGGTAATTAAACTTAAATACGAACGTTATTGCGGTTTTTTTTTATTATTAAATAACTTTTTTAGACACTCACATTCAACTTAAACGAGAAGGTAAAGTAAAGTCATGGTCATAAACTTGATTAATTAATTTTTTTCATCATTAGCTCCTGAATGCTCAGCTGGAGAAACGAAACAAATCGCGTGTAATCATTGCAAATGCATTCAGGGTCGATGGGCTTGCTCCAGAAAAGCTTGTTTAACAAAAAGAGGTTTAATTAAAATGCCACCTTGTTAGTAATCGACTTTAAAATGATAATTTTTAGAAATTAACGAATGCGAACAAGGTGAGACGAAACAACAAGATTGCAATCAGTGTTTCTGCTCAAATGGGAGATGGATTTGCACTTTGAGAGGTTGCTTAAAAAAGAAACGAGGTAATTATGTAACTCTTAGGGTAGGCACACACGGTCGATTTTTAGTCAAAACTTGATTTAATCAAAAAATTTTGTTAACAAAATTTGTTTAGAATTACTTCAGGAACAGTGTTTGTTAATAAAATTTTTTGCTAACTTGAAATTTTAATTTCATGCTATCAAAATTAATTATCTCAATAATTATTGTTTCTATCAAAAAATGTTTTAAATAAAATTTGTTTCAATTTCGATTTTGAATCAATTATCTTAATAAAA